TGGTCATATGATAGAGTGTGCGCAGAACTGGTTTAATTTCACTTAAAGCCAATCCATTTTCTATTTGTTTCCTTAATTTGATTCCATGAATTTCTTGCTCCAAAGCTAAGATTGTCTGATAGCTTTTGATGTCCAATTGGTTTTTGTTTAATTTAGTGTTGAATGGAATAGATCCACTATGATCAAGTGACCAATATCCAACTTCTCTTACAACAAACTGATAATCAAGTGAATAGCCTTGCACACAAATAATTATTCTAATATCATTAAAATTAATGTTTGGTGATGCCATGATTCTGACTGGATAAAATGTTGAAAAGCGTTGCTATTTATACTATAATTCCAAGGTCAACTAAGAAATATTCGATATTGATTAATTGCTGACGTAATCATTATATGATTGATTCAAAATTTATATAATGACTTGTTATGAAATAAATATAGTCATTTGAATATATATTTTATCTTAAGTAATATATTTTCTTAATTTACAAAATATCATGGAAAAAAATTTTGATTTAACATTAAAACATCCAAGGCGCATGATAATTGCTGGTCCATCCGGTTGTGGAAAAACAACATTTGTTCTAAATCTATTTCAGCACATGAAACAAATGTTTACCTTTATGTTTGACAGGATAATATATTGCTCAGATCAAACATTTCCAGATCAAAATTATGTTTATGGAGTTTTAATTGAAAAAACCGATCAATTAGATAGAGATTTTATAAACTCAATTAATCCGAAACAAAACAATTTATTAGTGTTAGATGATAATATGCATAAATTTATGAATGATTTATTAATTAGTGATTTATTTACTAAAATATCACATCATAAAAATATTTTTGTTATTATGCTATTGCAAAATTTATATCCTAGATCAAAATATAACAAAGATATATCACGAAATGCTACATATCTAGTGTTAATGTCGAATCCAGTTGAAAATTTGTCAATTAGAACATTGAGTTATCAGTACGATGCATCAAACCCTTCATATATTTTGAATTGTTATAAAGAGGCGACAAAGGACAGACCATTCTCTTATTTGTTTTTGGACTTTGACCAGAACACATCAGAAGAAGTTAGAGCAAGAACAAATATATTTCCCAATGAAGAAGCCATTGCCTTTGTTAAGATACATAAAGTTTGACAATGTGCTGAAGTGTTCCAACGAGTTGAATAAAATACATAAAGAAAAAAATTTAGTCAAGCGAAAAAAATTAATAAAAGGGGCAGAAGATTGTGTAATTAACGCAATATCTGAAATAGCAAAGAATTGTTTAATTGGAAATATTCCTCTTACTGAACAAGATTTTATTAGTTTAAAAACATACCAGCACATTTTGCGACAAATATCTAAACCAAAATCAATTTCACACAGAAAGAAATTAATTATTCAACAAGGAGGTTTAATTGAGTCATTGATTCCAGCAGCTTTATCTTTGATAGCATTTTTATTAAAAGATTATCTTGTTAATAAATTTTCAAAAAGAAATGACAAATTTCAAGAAAATGCGTCTAGTACCTATTCAGACTAACAAATCTACAGATAACGTACCAATAAATTTAGGCGAATATGATACACCAGTTAATCTTAAACAAATGAATAATTTAGACAATGAAATTAATAACATATTAAACAGTGAACTGGATGAATATACCAAATCAAAATTATATGGAAATACGTTACGTAAATTTTTAACTTTTAAAAAATTACATAAACTTAGAGATACTCCTACAAATATTTATGTCAATTCTGATCAAACACAACTCCAACTACGAAAACCATTAAAAGCCAAACGAAACTTAGGGAAGAAACGTAAATTTGCAATACAAAAACAAAACAAGAAAAGAATTAAAACCCATCATGATTATAATTTAATCAACACTGATATTGAAATGACACCAGAAGAGCGGTCGCTTAGGTGGTGGCAACATCGAGTTAGAGAAGACCCAAGAGAAGAAAATTCACGTCAACGAAAAAAACAAAAACATTCAAATATTGTGCAATCACCAGTTCAAACAATCACAAAAAAAATAAAACAAATAACTCCAAAAAAATCAATAAAATTACGAAAAGGAAAAAATATTAATTATAATTTAGAAAATTTATATTCAAATTATTTCGATAATTTAAATGAAAATGACGACAACTGGGAAGAATTTTAAGCTTGCCAAAAAATATTATGATATTAAAAATCCACTTAGCTTTGGTGGAATTAAAAAAACTCACACATTAAGCAAATCATTAAATTTATCACGTAATCAAATTATAAAATGGCTATTAAGCCAAGAAAATTATACCATTCATCGTTCATTCAAACATAAAATTAAACGTAATCCAATTGTATCAAAATTCATCGATCATACCTGGAATGCAGATCTTATGGAAATTCCTTATTATAGTAAAAATGATAATTACAGATATATATTAATGGTTATAGATAATCTATCAAAATATGGATTTGCTGTGCCGTTATTAAATAAAAACGCTGACTCAGTTAAGAAGGCTTTTATTTCAATTTTTACACAATACAAAAGAAAACCAATGATTTTGGCTACGGATGCTGGCAAAGAATTTACCAATAGATCTTTGAGAAAATATCTAAAATGGCGGAAAATTAAATTATTAATATTGCGTGATTCATCAAAAGCAGTGCTAGCTGAACGATGGATAAGAACAATAAAAGAAAAAATAAACAAATATTTATCATTTTACAAAACACAACGATTCATTAACGTTTTGCCTGATATAATCAATGGTTACAATAATGTTGTTCATAGTAGAACAAAACTTATGCCAGCTAAAGTGAATCAACAAAATCAACAGTTTGCATATAATAATTTGTATAAGATAAACTTTTCTGTTAAAAACTCATCGATTAACATTGGAGATCACGTGAGACTACCATTGAAACGAGGTCCATTTGATAAGGGATATTTGCCTAATTACTCTAACGAAATATTCACTGTATATAAAATTTATTTCACTTCACCTTATTATAAATATCGTGTTAGAGACAAAAAAGGCTCAATTGTACGAGGTTCTTACTACGGAGATGAGCTATTAAAAATTAATCATTAATTGTAACAATGGATTTAAATAATAAAAATATTATTTATTTATCTAATGACAATAAAAATTGTGAATTAAGTATTAATTTTGATAAAACTGTATATTTTCCTGAGCCAACAGAATGTGCGCTTACTCAGCTAATAATACCAGCGAAATTGTATTATAAAAAATATCAAGACTTAGAAATAAAATGCATACTACAATGGGTCGATATTGACATAAAAGATCCAAATGACTTTTTTGTTCCAGCACAAAGATCTAATTATGAATTTAATGAAAAAGTCATGACAAAATTAATTAAATTTGATTTATATGATCCAGCTAATCTTGACACTATTATTCAAAATAACATAAATAAAATAAATAACTGGGTTCAACATAAAATTGACGATCGGTTTCCAAAACCATACGATCTTCAACGTATCGAAGCTCTGGGTTCAGAATTAATATCACAAAATAATTATTTAAAGAAAATTCAATTAGAGAAACAGTCTAACAATAAATATGTTATTAGTAACGGAGTATTCCAAGTAAATCATATGCAAGTAATTGGGTGGGCCGAGGTAAAGGCGCTTGAAGACGATGAAGATCATCCAGATGTATTTTCTAATAAATGGACAAATTGTGCTTATTTTAAAGTATTCTTTAATGACAAATTAAACTCTTTGCTTGGTTTTAAAAATTATCCTTATCGGTATAATATAAATGAATTAAATCCAGATTTAGACTTTAACCAAACTAGAATTCAAGCAAACAATTCACCAATGTTAACTGTTATAAAAGACATAAATTATTTATTTGTTTATTGTGATATAATTCAAGAATCTAACATAAATAACAAGAAAGGAAATATTTTACGTTTTGTTCCACTAAGCAAATCTAGCTCAAATAAACCTATGGTAATTAATTTTGAGAAGGAAATTTATATCCCAATCAAATACAGAGAAGTTAACTCAATTAAATTAACAATTAAAGATGAATCTAATAATGAATTATTTTATAAAAGTGGAGAAAAAGTGTTTGCAACAATTATATTAAGAGATATAATACAAAATATAATTTAGTTTTAGTTTAGTCGTTGACGTGTCAACATCATGTAATTATGGATTATGATAGTAAATATATTACATATTATTGTAATCAAGCAAAATCAAATTGTAATCAAAAAGGGTTTGGTTTAACAGAGAATAAACCAATCTCATTGGACAATTTAATAAAGAAAAAGAATAAAAGCAAAAAATCTTATAAAAAGAAAACTAAATTTAATAAGAAAATTATTAAAAGGAAACCAGTGAAGAAACAAAGACGTGTACCAAATAAAAAAAGAAAAATATACAAAGATATATTTAATTAAAATGGCTGCAGAGCATTATAATCCTAAGTTAGATATTTTTGAAAATGCTAAAACACAACTTGCTATTGATAGCGCACAATTGGTTGAATATCGTCCAGTTACATCAATTTCAGATTCAAATACAATAGAATTTAACATTCATGTATAAATCTATGTATAAGTCACACAAATTCTGGCAATTCTTACGCTTATATGCAGTAATCAATGCTTTTGTGTGTATTGTATATAAACGGCTATAAGGGAGTTGTCTCTCATTCAGTCGTCTCTCTCTCTAACCAATAGGTTGTTAACAATATATGCAAATTATATACTCAACTAAACATGTAATACAAATGATTACATGTTTTAAATTACAATCAAATGAGACTTAATTGTTATGCAAATTAATAATACTATTTATGTCTGTTTTTAGATGACTTGTGATTTATTTTATAGATTAATATAAAATATAAAAATATTTGTTTAATAAATAAAATGATTTATCAATTATTGTTTTAAATACAGCCCTAAAACGGATAGCATTTTATTTTCCAGTGAATTAAATTTATTATCAATTGATTTCTCTAATTGTGTAAACTTTTCGTCGATATATCGCCGCAAATGAGTGCCATTTTGATGGCAATCACTGTTTGTATGACAAACACAATCACAATCACTTGTCACCGAGTCTTTGGGTGTGTTGTCATTTAGTGGCAAACATTGTGCTGATGGCCGACACTTGGAATCACTACTCGCCGTGTCTTTCTGCACAACACTATCACCGGTTGTCTTGAGCGCCGCTAATCTGGCCATCAGTTCAGGACTCAAAGCGCTGGAAGCGTTGGACGCTTTGCCAAACATAGATAACATGCCAAACAGTGAGCCAATGCCCGAGTGATCGCCCGATGGCTTAACCACCGATGACTGTTTGACTCTAATTAATCTCACAACCAATCCGTAAATCCATAGCTCATTAAAGCTCTTAAACGTAATGGTAAACTCTTTAAGCGGTTCCTTGAAGTGATAGTCGCTTCTATACATCGATAGGCCGTCGCACTCGTCCACCAATCTATTGATCCCAAAAATTAAGACATTGATCGCAAAGACATATCGCACGCAAAATCACTCACTCGTTGAACACGGTTTGGATGTACTCTTGAGTGTCGTTGCCGTGAATTTCTAACACTTTCGCCGAACACAACAGCGAATAGGAATCAACTCGAGTGACAACGTCTTCGGCGCCATCGGCGCCGCCGTCATCGAGAGTTTGGACGAAAAGTTTGCACTCAATCCGCGCCGTCGTATCGCTTGTCGTCGTCGGCGCCGACAGTTGGACACAATTCTCGCAGCTCTCCAATAGGGACTCCACGTCCTCTTCAGCGGTGTCTTCGTCTGATCATCGGATCAATTAAACACGTGATTAGTAAATCATAAGTGAATCATAAGTTTAAGTACCGGTTGAGTCACCGCTGGAACCGCTGTCTTGCCGGCCACCGGCGGCGCCGCCATCAGCGCCGATATATCTGACAAATACGGACGAGTCGATTGACTTAGTGGTCACCCAATTGGTCCATATCTTCATTGAGTCCATAATTATAATCACATTTAAAAACTCAAAATCAAATCAACAAAAATTTCATCACTTTTTGACGTTTAAATGTTTATCTCATTGGGAGAGAGAGAGTCAGACACTGACTGCCATTTATAGCCCAAACTCCCACAACAACGCCCTCCGGGAGTATTGGGAATTCAGCCCACATTCACATAGCGTTTCGCGCAGTAATCCGCACACAAACCAATGGGAATACACGCCAAATACTCGCACTCTATGTCAACCCAAATAATATAACGATACATAAATAACGTCCACTTTATTATGAGTTGACGTTTAAAGTGAGTGCAAAACACAAACACCTATTGTTTTTGTGGCGAAAAACCACTTCTTTGGCGATAAACCGGTGGCCACTCTCTCTCTACCCGTGCGGACACACATCCAGACAATGCCCGGCATTTACAGCGTGTATATCATCTCGCGGTCGGGCGGACTCATCTTCAACTACGACTGCGACCACAACTTTGTCTCCTCCGAAGTGGAGAAGACATTCAGCTATCCGTTGGACGTGAAACTGGATTACGTCCACCAGAAAGTGACGGTCACTTTCGGCCAAAGGGATGGCATCCGTGTCGGCTACGCCCTCCTCGCCATCAATGGACAGCCCATCGGTGGCCGCAAACTCGACGACAAGGATGTGATCGACGATATACTCGCCAACGAAGACAATTACCCCATTAATCTCAAGTGAGCGCTCCTCTACTGTCCCGAAGACTTGTGGGAACAGTTGATGATCTCTGGATCTAATGGTTTGATGTCTCCCTATTTCTGTTGATAGGTTTGGTTTGCAACGGTTGACCACTAATGAGAAGATAGTGTTGTCGTCGATGTTTCACTCGCTGTACGCGATCGCCGCCCTCCAGATCTGCAACAAAGGCCGACCGATCGGCAGCACCGGTGCCGCCGCCGGCGAACGCCAGGGCTTTCTCAAGAGCTCCGGCATTGAGATTATGGAAACGAATAATTTTCGGCTCAATTGCTTGCAGACCACGACTGGCGTCAAGTTTTTAATCGTTAGCGATCTGACGGTTCCCGCAAATAAAGACATACTCCTGAGGAAGATCTACGAGTTGTACACCGATTACGCCCTCAAGAATCCGTTTTATTCGTTAGATATGCCCATTAGGTTTGTATCTCTCTCTCTCTCTCTCTCTCTCTCTCTCTTCTTCTGGTTTGCCATCAGTTTTGAACAAAAAGTTTTATGTATTAAAAATATATTTTTTATAAA